GTCATCCACTGGGCTGCAGTCATATCTTCTACAGTGAGGTCAGAATACCAGCTTTAGGGGGAGGATCTTCTTTCCAAGTTTGCTCTTCTTTGGGGTACTCTTCCTCAGCCTTAGGTTGTTCTTTAGAATTCTCTTTACAGTCACTCTCCTATTACAGAGAAAAATTTTTTATAATAAACTTTTCCTGTTCAAATTATTTCTGTGCTCTCTCTCCTATTTGGACCTAAACTGACAGTATCTAATTGAACTAGTATCTAATGAAATTAACCAGTCCCACAGATAAATTTTCTGATACATTTCTGGGGGGAAAAAGTGTTTATTTTAGATAGTCTTCTTAACTGATAGTCTTTTAATTGTCATAATAATGGCAAGGATAATAACCACTATTTAATGATTTCTACCATATGTTAACATCCATCCCAAGTGTTTATTGCATAGTGTTTTTCATACTAAAGCAAGGAATCCTATAAATTATCTTTTTATTTACTTTTTTTTTTTGGCAGAGGGAGGAAACTAAAGCATGTTATTTTGCCTGCTAAGAAATAGCTAAGAAGAGGCAACATGAGGATTTGAATCCAGGGCTTTTTGCTAGTCTTCCTAAAGTCTTTGTATTTGTCTCTTTTGTATGACTTTTTTTGGGGTAGGGACAAGGGGAGGTATTAAGTATCTATAGATATGATATAATTATTTTATATCACTAGTAAACACTGCTTAGTTACTAATATTTTGTTCTTATTTATAATGGCAGCATAGTTTTTTTTTCTTTTTAAAGATCTTGGCTGATTTGAAGGGAAGTGGGAGGAATGACTACATAAAATGTTATTTTTATTTAGTAGGACTTTAGGCAGTTAATTAACAAAAGTGAAATAACAGGGGGTGCAGGTTCGATCCCTGGTCGGGGAACTAAGATCCCACATGCTGTGCAACCAAAAAAAAAAAAAAAAAAGCAAGTCAACAAAAGTTAAATAAGTCTTACGTGTGAATATTGTATTTGTGCTTTAAATATTAATTTGATTTTTTCTATTTTTAATATATTTTAATAAGTTTACCCATCCTCTTTATTCTCGTATTATGTTTAAATTATTCTCTATCTGTTTTCTTTAAGGTTTATATATTTAGGTAAATTATTCCATTGTACCATAGAAAATTGTTATGCTTTTGATAATTGATCAAAGCTTTATATGGCTTGATTCAACTATTTTAAATGGAATCGAGCTTCTGAGGAATCCATATTATTTTACCCACAGATGATATTGTTTTGTATTAATTTTTTTTTTTTTTACTTAAAATGTAAATACCAAAATAGGGCTGTACATAAAAGAGTTAACATAGGAGGACTGACACTACCATTCCTAAAAGGCCTGCTTATAAGGTTGGTTCTTGACTGGTATTTGGAAACTTGGCTTTCGGGAGGGTTTCCACCATTCCCAGAACTGAGAATAGTGGCTCACCGTGCCTAAACTTTTAGCACAAGCAATGTGGTTTGTGCTGAACACCAGCTTTCCTTCAGGAGTCTGGATTTTTGGTACATGCTAGGCAGAGGATGCCTATGTGACCAGCCCTGAGAAGAACTGAATCTCTATAAGCGTGTTGCATATGTGACATGTGACATTTCATCTTTATTTTTCCATCAATTAACCCTAAAGCCATGCAAGATATGCAGAACTTTTGGTGTCTGTATGGATGCTAACTTGGTGTTAAAAGCTGTTTAAATCTCTGTTTTGAGTAGAGACTCACTGGGCAGTATGGAAGGCCAAATTTCTTTTCTAAATAATAGTGGCAGTTGTAATAATAATTTATAATCGGCAACAGCTCTAGAATTTATGGTGTACTTTCCCTGTGAGTTTTTTCATTTCAGCTTTACATTAACATAGTCAACCTATAAGCCAGTAATATTTGTGTTCCAGAAATGTGGAAAGTGAGACTTTAAAGTGTGTGACTTGCCCAGGATCACACAGGGAATTGATAATCTTTTCTACTGATAGGCTAGGGAGGTGGCAGAGTATAATGTGTAAAAGACTCTGCAGTTTTGGAGTCATAGTCACGGTCTTAATAGCTTTGTGGTTTGGACAAATCACTTCTACTTTCCGGAAACCAGTTTTATTATTTGTTATACGGAGGTTGTTTAGAAATGTAAATGCAACAATATAGTAATGTCTGACAAAGCATTCAATAAACAGCTGCTATAATTAATATAATTATTATTAATATGATAACACCATCATCCCATTCTTAGGAGGTTTGATTTCAAATTTTGGGTCAAGTTAGCTATTTGCTATATTTTAAATAATGTTGGGTGTGTCTTCTCTCTGCTTTGTTAACATTCTGTACTTACGGCTATCGTAGAACTTACCGTACAGGTTGTAATTGTCCGTTTACTTCTTTTCCTCCCCTACTAGACTGTGACATCCTTGAGAAAATAAATGTAATAGCAGTTTGCTTTCTACATTATTTATGGAGTTAATAAGAGAAGATTGAACGCTTTGAACTCCCCAATGAAACACTTAATATTTGCAATAGGTGCTTGTGGTGCTAATAATATCTATCTAATTTCTGACGTGTTATTCATAATAGACCTTGCTTGTCTCTATAGGAAACCTTATGTGCTTTAATGAAATATAATTTTAGAAATGACTAATACAGCTTGATAGAAAAAAATTACTCAGTTTTAGTGCTGGAAGAATCCTTAGAGTTCATGTATTGTTACCTCTCCCATTTTCTAGAAGAGGAAGCAGAGGCCCAAGGGGGTTAGGTGCTTTCTCTAGGGTCGCACTGTTGGTTGGTGGCAGGATTTTTTATTTATAACCCAGGAAAAAAGCAGTACATCAGAGATCATCAAAATAAGGTGATGTGTGTTCCCATTTGAGGAGAACCTAAATTTCCTTTTGCAGTGGAGTTTAAGATAGGACATTATATTAGGAAAATTGTACCCATTTTGCCACTTACCTGTGAGTGCTTGACAAACAATATAAAACTTTAAATTTTCAAAACGAGCAAAAGAAAGGTAGAGAGGATGCATACTAAACTCTTAGTATTGGTTCCAAAGGGTCTGAGATTAGAGAGAGAAAGGAGAAATTATTTTTTCCCTATACACTTTGGTATTCATTAGCTTTTTACAATGAGTATATATAATAGTTCTGTAACTTAAAAACCATAATATAGAAAATAGTATTTTAAAACCCATGAGAGGTGCAAGCTGAAGCAAAGAATAGGGAATGTGAAAGAAGTCTTCTGTCCTCATTGACCCGACTTTTTTTTTTTTTTTTTTTTTTTCGGTTCGCGGGCCTCGCACCGCCGTGGCCTCTCCCGTTGCGGAGCACAGACTCCGGACGCGCAGGCCCAGCGGCCATGGCCCACGGGCCCAGCCGCTCCGCGGCACGCGGGATACTCCCGGACCGGGGCACGAACCCGCGTCCCCCGCATCGGCAGGCAGACTCCCAACCACTGCGCCACCAGGGAAGCCCTGACTCGACTTTTAAGTTGAGGGAACTAAATTTTATATCTGAAAAAGAATTAGCGCTTTTATTCTTATAAGGGATTTAAGGCAAACTTAGAAGAAATAGTACAATAAAGTACATGATTAATTAGCATTTAATTTGTATAGACAGTGTTTATTATAGGAGTTCATAGCAGTTTAAAGGAATCGTATTAAAATTATGAATATTAGATTATAATAATTTCTGTTTTAGTAAGTTATATTTTGTTCACTGGTACAATAATATGTTTGGAATTTCCTCAGAACTTACTGACTTTATCTTTGTTATATACTTGATCTTTTTGGATGCCTTGAGCAAGGTATCCTCAAATATTCACAGGAAGTATTATATATATGTTTTTACTATTTACTAAGCTCATATTTGGACAGGACTAATCTCTTGTCTTGTTTATGGAAAAAAAAAGCCATGCTACTAGAAAACTAAACCTTTGAAAAACAAGGATCAGATTAAGTATTGACTGCTCAGCTGCCGCTATTTTGAAACTTAAAAAATGGTATATTTAATTTGTTTATAGTCTTGTATAAAATGCTCCATAGCATACTTTTAAATTTTGGAAAGCTACAATAAAAACACTGTTTTCTAGTAAGTGTGGGTATGCATTGTTGGCAGAGAGAGGCACACTGTGGACAGATCACATTGTCTCTCGAGTACAAGACCTACTTAATAGCCACATAAATTTGAGTAAAATAACTTTTCTGGACTTTACGTTTCTTACCTATAAAGAAGAAATAACAATAATATCCTAACAAATATTAAAAAATGTTCGAATTAGCTGAATTTTAGAGTTTATGAAAATCCTTTACAAACAAAGTGGTAGTGTTGATGGGATTGTTAAAGCTTCCCTAGCATTAGGAAGCACAGAATAAAGTAGTTAATAGTGTACAGTATGTTGGGTAATATCTTCACTAATATAATAGCATTTTTAGTAATGAGTTTCATATAACTTTTTTTTTTTTTTTTTCCAAACTGAGGATATAGTATTTCAAACTGAAGATATAGGCTACTCAGTGAACATGACTGTTGAGGGCCAGGGTGACTGTTTCTGTTAATCTGGCTTGATGCAAAGAGAGAGTACAGTGTCTTATTCTAATTTTTGAAAAAATTTTCTTTCTTTTAATTTAACTAGGTTAGTTGATCTTGACCAATATGTTTGGAGTAACTCTAAAGCAAATACAATCTCATTTTTACCCAGAAACTAATTTATATGTCACTACTGTATTTTGTTTCAGTTAACAATTTATGGCTATTTTTATCACAGTTTCTGATCATTGGTAATCTTTTACATGCAAAAATAAAGATCTGGGAATTTAGGTAACTTATTTCTATGTGATTTTATTATGTATCTTAATGAATTCTTATTTATGATGTTTCTCTAAAAAATGAAAGCTATTTGTCAGTACAGAGCTCAGATTGTATCGTTACTATTGAGACTTTTGCTCACTGGGCTTCTATATATTCTTGATACCTTATTTCTCCTTTTTTTTCCCTCCCCAATATTTTCAGATGTTTTGGAATGTTATTAAGCCCAGGGCGAAACGTGAAGAACAGTGACATGCATTTACTGGATATGGTAATGAAAATCTTAAGCACCTTAACCAAGTATAGATGATAGTTATTTTATATTTTTAAAGTATTTTCTATTTTAAAATTTTGTCATTTTGTCAAAATTGTTTCTAACTTTCAGCTATCAATTACTACGATAGTAGTAATTTAATTTGGAACCCCAAACTTAAAATTACTTATGAGGGAGAGATTTAGGAAAACTTTCATAAAAAAAGCATATGCAAGTGGGAAACAAATAAAAAGATAATGTAATGAAAATATCCATCTATTCATCTCTTTGGCTTCTTAGGAATGTGTCTCTTCTTTGAGCCAAATAACAAATACATGATTATAACAGGCACAATGTTATAAGTGAATATGGTGCCTTTCATTTTTTTTAATGCAATATTATTAATTTGGGTACCGTGATGGATGCTTTTGTTTTCTTTAAAGCGTTTCCCTTTCTGAATTTTTCCTTCTTGATTACCTTTCATTAGCAAAGTATATTTACTTTAGGAGTGGTACTTATTTAAGGAATGCCCTTGAAGGTTAATATGTATTTAAGAGTTGGTATTTGATGTAAAAATAGGAAGCCATCTTAACTTTTAAACAGAAATACCTGCTAATATTGCAGTTAATGAAAACATTTACTTTGTGGTTTAGAAATGTTATAGGAAATAGTTATCTTAGTATAAGTATAAAGTTTTTTACTTAACTGAGATTTTTTTAGGTAGCACTACATGTTTTCTTCCTTTCAGCTGTATTTTGCAAATGTCAGTTAAATACCACAAATTATATCAACTTTTTCTTTGAGTTATTTCATGGTAACATCACATGGATTTTCTACTGGTAGTAGAATGGTTTATTCAGCGTTTTTGAGGACCTAATTTTGTGCCAGGTATTGTGTGAAGTGCTGGTGTTATAGACATGGTAAAACAGTTCTTACCATCTATGGGTTCATAATCTTGTGATGGAAATAGATCTTTTAAGTATGTAATGACAGCAGTGGGTTAAGTGCTCTCATAGAGTTGGTACAATGAGCCACAGAAATACAGAGGAAGCACTGCATGGGTAGGTAAGGTAAGGACAACCAGTTACTTTAAATGTGAAAATGAATTAGGTATTGGTTCATCTCTGTTCCCTCGCTCTTTACAGCATATCAGTTATGCAAGTGGTTTTACTTAAGGCAGGACATAGCACTTTGGAGTCCTGAAAATTCCGTGAGGAGGTAGTTTCAGGGACATTAAATACTTATAAGCTCCTAGATCCTAATTAGAATGATTTTTCAGAGTTTAAAAGATTAAGGTGAATCACTGGCAAAGATTTTTCTATGAAACCTAAGTTTAGATTATAGAGTTACAGACCTGGCATGAACTTCTGAACCCCTTAGTCTTAGTGTCTTGCTTGTGGTGCAGCCCTCCACCTTTAAGAGTCCATATTGATATCAAAGGACTTGTCAGCACTGAAGCTCCTGGAAAGAGTGGTGGGCTTACCTGTGCCACAAATAGTTGGTCAAGTTGGAGGGTTTATATGTACAATTATGATCAGTTGTGATTTGTTATTACCAGTGCTATTAATCTTCATGCTATCTTTAATACACGGTTATTGAGCTTTAGCTACATTACATCTAATAAAAAGGAACTTGTTACCTTATAATGAAGACTATGGGACAGTTCTGGTTATTACAGGTTATACCTTTGTAATCACCTGAAATCATATTCCTTGTAACTTTGCCTAATTAGTCTTAGTTCTGCCCTCTAGAGCCAGATGTTAATACTTTTTCTTCTATGACATCCAAATACGTGTACACTTTGAAAACAAATTTCACCTTGCACTTTATTCTGACAAACTTTAAAAGTGTTTAATTATATTTAATTTCAGAATTTGTGAGACTTTTCTATTTGACTTGAATAATTTTTAAGCAATGCTGACTTTCTTCCCTGAATGCTAAATAAGCCAGATGAACTGAGACTTTTCTATAAATTTATAAATTTTGTTTAATATAAAATCTACATGAAAGAGAAAGTTATATTTATAAATGAAATATATTTTTTAGTCAAATAGGCAAATTACTTATATATATATTATACATAGTCTGTAAATAAAATCATATATAAATAAAATTAGTTAGGTTTTTTTGTGGGTACAGATAACAGACTCTCAATTTTCTCCCAGTAGTGAGTGAGAATAGTTTGGTGAAGATACTTGTAGTAGGAATAAGGAAATGAGAATTTTTGATTCATAGCCATTGATACCTAGGAAAAGCCTAACAGGAATGTACCAAAAAGCTGAAAACTAGGTAGAGTCAGATTTCATGGAACTGGAGCACAACTTAAAGTCCTATACAGCAGAAACTAACACAACATTGTAAAGCAATTATACTCCAGTAAAGATGTTAAAAAAAAAAAATCAAGTCACAGAAGACTAAAAACAATGTAATACCATTTTTAGAAAAACTCAGAAGCAGGTAAAATAAAATAATATTAAAAAAAAAAAGTCCTAGAGACGCCACAGAAACTTTGTGGATCTTCACAATTAACTATTTATTGACATTAGGCTAGTAGCTGGACTCACAGAAATAAAATTTACATTGTAATCCAATATACTTGTAATCTCTATGTATAAAAAAAGCTAAAGTAAAATTTTTATGAAACAGTTCTTAACCCTTACATGTGTGATGAAATCTGCAATTTTTTTCCTCTACTTGACTAAAAAGTCTGGTCACAATCCACTAAATTGATTTTATGATCCACAAATGGCTCACAAACTGCTGTTTGGAAATCATTAGCCTGTCAGCTCCATAAAGTCAGGACCATTTTGTTTTGTTTTCCTTGCTGGATACTCACAGGTATAGAGCATGACTCACAGTAGGCTCATATTTGTTTAATGAATGGATGGATTAGCATAAACTTACATTTTTTATTTTTATTTTTTTGTGTTATCTCCTCCTTCTGATGCCATCTGTGTGCTTTACCCTGCTGTCTGCCTACTTGACCTCATAGCTTCAGCTTACTCATAACTTGACAGTAGTTCACTCATGGCTTAGTATGAATTAGCATGATTCTTCAGCTTATGTTTCCATTGCAAAGTGTCATATTCTCATTATATTTCCCAGTTTATTTTCTTAAGAAGAGGGCATCTGGTGGTTCCAGCCTGGCCTAGTTTGGGCAGATGCTTTTGTCGTCCAGGTGTCCTTTACCTGATGTCCCTGATCTTGTCAGCCTTCCTGGGGGAGCCAGGGCATGCAGAGGAGTCAGGAAAGAAGTCTAGAGCAAAGATTGTGACAGTATCTTCATAAGGGGATGGGAGCCAGCCAGGCTATGTAATAGAAATGTCTAGTTCAATATCAAAAATGACTTGATAAAGAGAAACTTCTTTTGAGGGCTTTTGATGTGTAAGACAGTATTATTGTGGTTGTATGTTGTGAGGACTAAAAAGAAATAAAAATATGCTTAATTTGGTTAGGCTGTTTTGGTTACAAGAAACAAAGATTCACTTAGAGCACCTTAAAGGCAAAAGAGGTTATTGATCTTCATGAAATTGTACCTAAACCTGCAAAGTGGTCTCTATCTGGTCTCTTCCTGTCTGCCTCTCCTGCCATGGGCTTACTCTTTCTGTGAGACTCTTTATTGCTGCCCCTGTTCTCTCAACCTCTGGTGCTGCGCCCCCCCTTCTGTCTTTCTGCACCTTCTCCTCTCTCCCTCTCCCTGCCTCCCTTCTTTCCTTCTCTTCCCTCTTTCTCCCTCTCCTCCCCTTCTCCCTCCTTGCCCTTTTCTCTCCCTCCCTGCCTCTTCTCTGCCCTTCTCTTTCCTCCCCTTCAACTTGCCTCCTTTGTATCTGCCTTTGTTTTTTGACTACAGGATTAATTATTTTTAAGGATTTTTTTGGTGTTTGTTTTCTACATTTCTCTCTTACCACTTAGCAGTTTCCTAGTACTCTGCTGTTCTTTATATATTTTTCCCTACATTAAATTCTGTTATAACTTCGTTTTGTATGTGGCCTGACATCACCTGACTTCTTATCAAAACCTTTCAGCCCGACTGCTAACTGCCCACTTTCCTTGGTATTTGTTAATTGAAAGAAAGAATTTGACTGGTCTAGCTCATTTTTTTGGACTCAAGCATAGCACGAGCTCTTGTCCAGAAATGGACTGGACTCTTTGGGTCAGGTGCTCATTCTTGTTCTGAACGTCTAATTAGACAGTAGAGAGAGAGGATAGGCACATGGAAGGGAGTGAGGGAGAGAGAGAAAGATATGAATATATAAATGTGTTGGAGGTACTGAGTGGGTTTCCTTTACATGGCCCTGAGTGTATTTCACCTCTGGAATTCAGGGTCCCTGCACTTAAGCTATACAATCTGATTAGTGAAATATCACGAGTACACTAGAAAAATGTACATAGTAATTGCCAAATGACTACAATAATTTCATAGGGATTCAGAGAAGCATCTGTGTGGGGGAAATATTGAAAAAAAAGTTTTTTCTCTTTTATTTTTAGTCTGACCCTTTTCACACTCTCCATTTATAATATAAGGAAATCGATACAGAAAATTGAAAGTATTGTGGATAATACTCTTTTGCACGTGCACATATTTGTATGCATGTGCTGTTCTCCCACGGGACAACCTCTAAGCTCCCCCACACTACACACACACACACACACACACACACACACACACACACACACAAACTACGTGTTGCCTTGCTTTCAAGGCCACATATAGTTGTGGAGTTTCTGCTTTAGCGAGAGTCAAGAGCTGGCTTGGTAAAAGTCTTAAGGAGTGGAGGAAATGAAGAGGAAGAGGAGAAGGAGAGAACAGAAGGAGGATAAGTATGAGGGTAGAGGGAGATAGTTAATTACCTTGAGTGCTGATTACAAACCAGTATTAGTCTCCTAATATTGATTTATGATTGTTAGAAAGTGTACCTATATCTGGCATATAGGCAATAAAAGTATTAACTTTAAAGGTATTCATTGTGATAAAGTACATTAATATTTTAAGAATATATTAAAAATTAGAACATTAGAAGAAAAATCCTAACCTATTTTCCTGTGATTAGCTATTAATTCAGTTTAACTATCTTCAGTGAGATCCGTAATACAGTTTTAATAGAAACTTCCTATATCCTGTATGTGTAGGTATGTGAGATTTTGACAACCAGCCTAAGATAAAGTTAAATATAACTTCATACCAGTATTATGTTTTTGTGAGTCAGCATGTAAGGGCATACCTCCTTTTATCCAAGAGTATGTGTCTCTAAATAGAAACTCTGGAGAAAGCTGTAGGAGAATTTAATATTTAAAGAAATGCTTCTGTGGGATGAAAAACATTTACAAAGAAAATAAGTCCCCTGTTTGTGAATTCAAATTTTAATAAATTGGTTTGCTTAAAGTAAGATATAATTTAAAATGATGATTTTTTGATGTATATATTCTCAGTGATTCCTGTTTGAACTTTTATAGGAATCCATGGGAAAGAGCTATGATGGGAGAGCTTATGTTATCACCGGCATGTGGAACCCCAATGCACCAATATTTCTGGCACTTAATGAAGAAACCCCAAAAGGTGAATTTTCTTAAAAAATTCCTTATTATTTACTTTAAAATTTACATTATGGGCAATTTTGTTTTGCCACGTTTAAAAAAATTCTGGTGCTCATTTTAAATGGAATTATTCTTGTTTTCATGCTTTATACATCTATGGGGAAAACCTCCACTATTCAAAAGAAAGCCCCCCGATGATATGTGGATTAATTTTATTACATTATGTTAAGAAAGTATTTGGGCTTTGTGTTTCATATGTTATAGAGTTGTTTTATTTAAGGGCAAAATGATGGAAGAATATGAAAGAAATGATGAAGCAAATTCTGGAATTTTTGCATCTCTGATAACTATATTTTAACTTTTTTTCTCTATATTACAGATTACTTATATCTTTTCATTTACTATTATTCATTCCAGTCTTTTGACCTTCAGGAACTTAGTAATGTATATTTAGGATTTCATTTGTGGCAAATACTTTTTTCCAAGTTGTTTACCTTTTCATTTTGTTTAATATGTTAGTCTTGAACAGAATTTATAGATGGTAAGTAGGCTCATTTGTCATTTTTCCCATTGTATTTATTTTTATTCCTACTTTATCCAGATATCTGTTAATTGCCCATGTGGTTTTTTTTTTTCCCCTCCACCATCTGCCTTTAAACTAAAATTTAGTTTTATCTCATGAGCTATAATCTTCTACTAAATGCTTTACTATGATTCAACCAATAATTTATATTGAGAAAATAAGGGATCAGCTTGTTTGATCTTTAGTTTTATATTATTTACTTTATACCCACAATAGACTTTTGCTTAAAGACGGGAGCATTAGTGAATACTGATATGGAAATATAATATATTAATGAAGAACATTAAATGATAATTATTTTTGAAGTTCCTTAATAAAAGTATTTACCAGTTCCATAAATTGCATGCATTTGATCATACATCAAGCTATTTCAAACTGAGGGCTAAAAGAGAGAAAAATAATGATGATTATGTAAAATTTTGCTTTTCATATATTAGGAATAAATAATTTTTACACCACAGTTTGTGATTTCTGGATACAGGCTTGTGAATACCAGTCTGTAAACTTCTTCCTTATAATCATTCAGAAAATCAACGTGAAAATGGAAAAAATGAGCCAGTTGATAATTTTGAAGTAAAATATAGAAATTTCAAATAATAACTTATAAAAGCACCTTTTACCTGTTCTTAATGTAACACATAATTCAGTTTCATTTTGTATTTTAATACCTATTTGGTCCTCAATTAAAAATAATATATTTCAGGGACTTCCCTGGTGGTCCAGTGGTTAAGGCTCCTCCTTCCAATGCAGGGGTTGCAGGTTCGATCCCTGGTTGGGGAACTGAGATCCCACATGTCATGCAGTGTGGCCCAAAAATAATAATAATAGTAAAAAAATAAAAAAGAATTATGTATTTTAAAAAATACATATTTTAAAATTTATTTGTTCAATGAAAAGGAACTATATAGTACTATATTGCAATAATATTCTAATGCAAAAGATAATGTGTTTTAAATTTAAAATCATTTCACATGCCACACAAAAATGTTGACCTAATTTCTTACATTTTTAAATGGTGTTCTTGAAATTATAAATTACTCAGAGGAGTCATGAATCAAAACTACAAAAGTTGAAGCCCTGAGAGATGAAATGTCTTGGATCTTTTCACTACGTCAAGTTGTATATTGTATTCTGCGTTTTGTTATTTTCCCTAACCCCTCTACTTTATTCCCCTGAGACTTTATAAGGTCCTTAGGTCAAGTACAATGTCTAGAGAATCCTAATTCCTCTTGAATTGGCAGATAGAATGCTTGTATTTAGTACAAATGTAATACATTTTTTGTTGAGTTTAATGATATTAATAGGAGTGTAGTTGATGAGTATAAATGTTGTATAATGGTTAAAAAGACAGTATTGAAGGTTTCTTCTAATGGTGGGCTTGGTTATTTGAACTTTCCTTTAACTGAGAACTGAAAATGGTAGACAATATAAATTTAAAAAATATTTTAAAAACAATGAAGAGGGGTTTCCCTGGTGGCGCAGTGGTTGAGAGTCTGCCTGCCGATGCAGGGGACACGGGTTCGTGCCCCGGTCCAGGAGGATCCCACATGCCGCGGAGCAGCAGGGCGCGTGAGCCATGGCTGCTGAGCCTGCGCGTCCGGAGCCTGTGCTCCGCAACGGGAGAGACTGCAACAGTGAGAGGCCCGCGTACCACAAAAAAATAAAAAATAAAAAAAAATAATAATGAAGAAGTGACAAAATGATATGGAATAAACAAACCAGAGTTTCAAAAATCCCAGTGAATTTCAAGCAGGGTAAATAGAATAAAATGAAATCCATATTTCAACCTATCATAGCGAAACTGAAGAAAAGGAATAGACACTGGTCTAGAAAGTCTAGATTCAAATTAGAGGAAGTCTATGGTGAAGAAAACATTTTAAATAGTAACTGAAATTTTGACTGATAACAGTATACTGTTGTCTAAAAGCACTTGCCAGGACTCTGATATATATTTTATGTATATAAAATATATATACATACTATAAATATGTAGTGTGTATATATACTCTTTATATGTAGAGAGAGTATATATGTGTATGTGTACTCTATATGTTATATATAGAGAGAGTACATATAGCGTATTTTATATGTTATATATAGAGTATATATATATGAAAATTACACATTAGAGCTTTGGTCAATGATTTTCCTGATCTTTAATATGTATTATGGACAATGAGGGTACTGACAAATCTCTGGGGACTTCCCTTAAAGCATACAACATTGAAATATTAATAACATTTTCCCAAACAAATTTAACATAATGAAGGTTGAGCATCTCTTCTGATTTGACAGTCCTTCCCATGCAACTCATCAAACAGACCTAATAATTTCTAGTATCTCTTTTTATAAAATGAAAGGGCAGATCTTTGTGATTTTCCAGGTTTTTTTTTTTAAACCTGAAAGGTAGTGTAAAAGACATTCTGAAATTTCTATTTTATTTATTTTTTTATATTAAGGGCCTGATTTTGAGAAGGAGAAATTAAAGTTGTCAGAGGAGATTTGGACATTTGATTAAGGTGGGATCAGGAGTGTTGAGAAACATACTTGGGAAACTTGGTTACCTATTTAATCTAAGTGACAATAAAACATTTAAAATTAAACATAGCAGGTAACAGGAGTATAAAGACCCTTAATCCAGGCTTCCCGGGTGGCGCAGTGGTTGAGAGTCCGTCTGCCGATGCAGGGGACACGGGTTCGTGTCCTGGTCTGGGAAGGTCCCACATGCCGCGGAGCGGCTAGACCCGTGAGCCATGGCCGCGGAGCCTGCGTGTCCGGAGGCTGTGCTCTGCAACGGGAGAGGCCACTACAGTGAGAGGCCCACATACCGCAAAAGAAAAAAAAAAAAAGAACCTTAATCCTTTAACTTTGTTTTCTTAAATAAGTAATAATAAAGCTGGCATAAAACACAGAAAATTTCTACTGCAGATAAACGAGTGTACATGACCGTGGCGGTGGATATGGTAGTCACGGAGGTGGTGGAGCCTGTCCGCTTTCTCCTGGAGACAGTAGTACGCGTGTACCCTGCAAACGAGCGATTTTGGTATTTCAGCAGAAAGACTTTCACGGAGACTTTCTTCATGAGGTTGAAACAGGTAGGACCTTTTTGTTCTTCTCACATAATACATTTTTTCCACCATTTTTTCTTTAATGCCAACATAATTTCTTAAATAACAATAAAAAGCAATAGAATTCCTCAGATAATCAAATATTTAGAGTCAACTAACAGAGTATTTGAAAAATCCATGTGTAGGTAATGTCAGTTGAAAAAAACAACTAGTAATAATTAGGTAGAAATTTGTTTTAGAAACCTGTAATGTGTACCTATAAAGTATCAACATACTTAATAGAAATAACGAATCTATATCTAAAACAGCTTTTCTTCCTTTTATATACAATTACATAAAACCAAAAAGAAAGGGCACAGAAACATCATATCTTTATAAATAATAGCAAAAACATTATGAAGTAATACATGACTAATTGTTATAGTTATTTCTACCTATATAATATTATGTGAAGGTGTTGTTTGACTTATTAGTAAGGTTATAAAATTATTTTAATATTAAATGAACAAAATTAGGGTTTCTGTGAAGTTCTTAAATTAGGCAGTATTAATAGGTAAAATACACTTTTTGTTATGTAATGAAGGAAGAAGGTAACAGTGAAAAATAATTTGAATTCTAGTAGTGTCCATTTTATGAAATCAGAGTAAAATATTCTATTTGAGTGATGTAAATCCTTTTCATCCTATTTAGTGCTCCCTCTCTCCCAAGTTTAAAAAATGCTTGTTGCTTCATATACTGTAATATGCAAAATGTAATGTGGTAAAAGCAAGCATCAGTTCAGTGAACAAATATAGAAGCCACTTAACCATTTTCATATTAAAAAAAACTTGTCATTGCTCAGTTAGGCTTCATATATTAGATGCTTTGAAATTGTTGTGGTTTTCGTCTTGCATAAAATTATTAGAGCTGTGGTTTGACACAGCTTTTATTGCTGTGTAGACTGTTTTTTTCTTTCAGTTTTTGTAGCATATTCTGATGAATATAATATGAACAATATTTAAAATTTTAGTGTACTGAGCATATTTTCATGTTTTATTCTGAGATATTTTTCTCCCTTCCTTCTTTCTTTCTTTTCTTTTTTTTTTTTTTTTGTAGCTTAATTGTTCATGACTGTCAAAGAATTCGTTTGTCATTTTGAGCCAAAGGATTATTCAGAGTTGCATAAGAATGAATAAAGGAGCTGTATACAAAGTGGTTGTTATCATTCTAGTGACAGTTAATAAATTATTATGCTGTGAATTTTTCTTCCTTGAGACTTGATAAAAAGTTAGCTTCCCCCTCCCGCCCTGCCCCCCAATATTAGCTTCATGTATATATATATATATTTATATATATATATATATATGGCAAGATAAAAAAGAGTACTTGAATTTATATATTTATATAAATTTCAAGAATATATATATTAGAGTGGATTTTTATTATTAAATGTTATTTTCATATTTTTAAAACTACTGATGTTGAGTGACTGAGTGGTAAGTACCATAAGTTAAGAATTTCTTAGTACTAAAACGTTAAAAATACTGTTTGAGGCCATTTCATGTGAAATAAAAAGATTAAATTAGATTCACTTGTAATATTCAGCTCCAATAAATGTGAGACTGATTTAAATGAATAAGAATCAGATAAGAACATGGTTTCTAACTTTAGTGGTATAATTTAATCTCTTTAGTAGATATTGTGTTAGTCTGTTTATTATTATTTTTATTTCTTCTTGAGTCATTTTTGGTGATTTGTGTCTTTCAAGGAATCTTCAGTTTAATCAAGGATATTTAATTTATTGCTTAAAATATTACCTTTTTATTTTTAATGTTTTTAGGATCTGTAGGATCTGCTTTTATTTCTGATATTGGTAATTTATATATTCTCTCTTGTTTTTTGTTTTATCAGCCTAGCTAGAGATCTATTAATTTTACTGATTTTATTACCCCCCAGAGAAACAGATTTTGGGTTCATTGATTTCCCTATTGTTTTTCTGTTTTATCTTCTGTTGATTCCTTTTGCTTTCTTTTTTATTTCCTTTTTTTTTTTCTGCTTTGGATTTAACTTGTTTTTCTAGTTTCTTCATATGAAGATTATATCACTGATTTTTTAAAAACTTTTTTTCCTAATATCTTTTAATTTTTAGGGTTATAACTTTCCCTCTAACTTCTCAGAGTTGTTAAAAGAAAACTCTGTTTCCTTTACTACTATTCATACCACTTCATTTCTGACACCAGATGGGTGAGTGTTTTTCCTATAGCAATTAATTCTCCAATTGGACACCAATTGGATGGCCTACAATACAATTATGACACTAACTACCTGGAGTAGGCACAGACCCCACAGGTTAAGGGCTCAGTTCCACAAGACTGTGCCCCTCCTCCTTACTTCAGACACCAGTTACAGGTCCAGGTTGTCACCTGTGTTTCTGACCAACCAGCTATAACTTGGAGGTTCCCACAACCTCCTCCTCAGGTTTGATAATTTGCTAGAATGACTCACAGACTCAGGAAAACAGTTTACTTAGTAGATTACCAGTTTATTATAAAAGGATACAGCTCTACAACAGCCAGCTAGAAGAGATGCACAGGGCAAGGTATGGGGGAAGGTGTATGGAGTTTCCATGCCCTTTACAGGCTCGCCACCCTCTCAGTACCTCCGTGTGTTCGCCAACCCAGAAATTCTCTGAACACCTAAGTTAGGGTTTTTTATGGATGCTTCATTCTGTAGGCACAATTGAGTAAATCACTGGCTATTAGTGATTAACTCAAGTACCAGCTCCTTTCCCTTCCCTGGAGGTTGGGGGAGTGGGGCTGAAAGTTCCAGCCTTCTATCATGTGATTGATTCCTTTAGCATCCATCTCCCCCACCCGGAACGGCCCCCCCATGCCCTCAGGGGCTTTCCAAAAGTCACCTCTAACAAAATTCAAGTGTGGTTGAAAGAAACTCATTAGGAATAACAAAAGATGCTCCTTTTACCTTTATTGCTCTGGAACTATTTCAGAAATGGGATAAAAACCAAATACTACAACAAAAGATGTTTCTTTCACCTTTATTGCTATGGCACTGTTTCAGGAGCCAGGATGAATACCAAAATATATATTTCTTATTATATCACAGTATCACAGTTGTCATGATGAATAAATATGAATTCATGTAAGGCCCTTTAGGACAGTAATTGTCACCTGGTACATGTTCAGTAAATGTTAGCTATTATTGTTTTTATTAATGTTAATTAATACTTGTTCGTCTTCTATCTAGTTTCTATTCTTTTTGGGCAGAATCCTTTGTTTCTTAAGCCTAAAATAAATGAATGAATAAATGAACCAATAAATGAATAACTAACTCTGGTAGCAAGGTCAGGATTTTGGAGTGTGGTAAGGCAGAGGAGGGCATTTTAGTCAGAGACAAGAGTTGAGTCAGGTCATAGAACTCTGATGTAACATGATACGTTCAAGATCTGTAGGAAATTAGATATTGCCGAAGCATCAGTGGGCATGGTGGGTAATTATTCCGAATAGGTAGGTCATTACCATGCTTAGTCCTTTATCCTCAGGTTGGGAGAATTTTAAGCTGTGAATGACACTGTATTTATAATTGGGAAAGGTCACTCTGACCGTAGTGAAAAAGATATATTGCTATTGGAGGCAAATAAATATGAAGTAAGAAGGCTATTGTGGCCAAGATGAGAAATGATGGCGTGAAGAAAGGCCGTGGCAGTGGGGATAGTAGAAAAGATGAATTTGAGAGGCCTTAGGGAAGTAAGAATCAAGATCTGGTGTTTGATGTGACGTGAGGTTGAGGGAAAACAAGGGGTCTAGGATTACTTTCAGGTGACTGGGTGGTTGTTGATCCTTTTGATTGAGATGTTACGGAGTCCAAGCTTTCTCCGCTCGCTGCAGTGAATCGGGGACGAGGTATTGAGGCAAGGAATACGACTTTATTCAGAAAGCCGGCAGATGGAGAAGATGCCAGGCTAGTGTCTCTGATAAACCATCTTATCGGGGTTTGGATGCCACCTTCTTTTATAGCACAGAGAGGGGGAGGAGATGAGTAAGTAAAGTCAAAAGGCCATAAGTTTTGCAAATACCCTGTGGAATGGACAGCCTCCGTGAGGGGATGTGTTAATTTCTTCTTCTTTCTTGAGACATCCACAGGTGGGTGGGGTGAGGTTGTCTCCCTTTGAACCGAACAGAGGCACTTTAGTTTAACATTCAGGCAGAGGGGCAGAGTTCCCTGAGGCAGGCCATTATGTATGATTATAATAACAAAAGCAACAAAAAGCAAAGGTTAAAGTCAAAGAAACCGATCGAACCTGGAGTCCCATTTAGCTTTTCCCTGTTACAGAAATAGACTTTCAAGGAGAAATGTTTCGAGACTCATGAGGAAAGCTAGCGGAGTTTCAGATATGCTGAATTTCACATTTCCGTGGAACTTTTAGGTTTAGTAAGCAGTTGGATATTTGTATCCTAAGCTTGGGAAATAAAGATTTTAAAAGTGGTTAAAGCTTGAGAATTGTGACTAGGAGTAGGTGGCCAAGTGTTGAGTGGGGAGACATTGAAGATTGGTATAGGAAGAGGATTGAGCCAAGTGAATGTAGAAGGATAAGCACAGATCTAGGGGTAAGATCACAAGAGCACGAGGCCAGGAATGGCGAGGGAGGAAATTGTTTCCTGCAGGAGAGAATGCCTTAAGCATCAGGTACTTCAGGAAGGTTAGCTAAGGATTTGATTGGTAAATAAGAGACAAAGATCTTAGACTGTAAAACTTGGACAATTTCAGAGGAGTAGTGGGGTGGAAGTTAGACTGCAGTTGATTGAGGCTTGAATGGGAGACAAAATGTCATAATTCACCTCTGCAACTGGGAACAAAAGAGAAGCTGGGTACAAATCCAAAGTATTAGGGTACACTTTATTTTATATACAACTTTTATATACAAAGTTAGAATTTTAGAAAATTCAATCTCTCCTTCTATTTTTCCTGGGTTTGGAAGTCAAACCCTCTGCTAGTGATTTGGCTGAATGAATACCCATCAAAATATGGAG